AAAAAAAAAAAAAAAAAAAAAAAAAAAAGAAGATTAAAAAAAGCTTAAATAAACACAGGACAAGAACGGCAGAAGAAAAAGGCACTTTTACCCATACACTGACCTCAATTTCGTTTCATTATGTTTGAAATGCAAATCCTTTGAGTTCCAAAAAAACCAAAAGACTACAATTGAAGATGAGAAAGCAAGAGTAATCTGACAATTTTACTGTTTCTCTTGAGACTACTTACTATTAAAATCAGTAGAAATAAAGGTTATTTGAAAATCAGTTATACCTGTCATGACCACTCAGTGTTCTGTCTAATAATAAAAAACATTCATCTGTACCTAAGTCCAAGAAAACCCACCACCAGCCAAACAAAAAAGTGCTACTCTTCACAACAAAAAATCCTTCCAAACTTAGCCGAACAGCATCGAAGATAATTAAATAAAACTGCATAAAAAACAATAAAAACAGGCTTTAGCAAGCAGCAAGCAGCTCTATTAAAAAAGCTTCAAAAACGAATTCTAAAAAAAATATTAAATCTCCAAAGTCCCCTTCCAAAATATACTTTCGTTTCCAAAGACTCAATCTTTAACTAAGTACCCCGACGTCAAGAAACTACAAAGAACTGACAACATCTAATGGTTTTCAACTCAGGAATAAGCTAGAAGCCGTAGAAATAAAGCACATTGTTACATGCATCTGTACTATAAACAGCTGTTATTTTACGTTAACCTTCAACAAGCCTGTAATACCTTGCTGCATTAAGCCTCGCCCAGCTGCCGAGGACAACTTTGGTATATGTTCCCAAACACGAAACTGCAATACCGAGTTTCAAAATACTATCAAAATTAACACCCCTTCAAAAAACCTTTGCTATCCCGATTCATAAATGCCTATACATTGCCCAAAACAATATCCCCACTCAAAAAGTTTGCAGTTTGACGAAGAAGATTATAAAATAATATGCAACTAATATAGATAAACACAACACGGTAACCAACTGCTGTGCAATAAGACCAACCATCCAATTCACTGTTGATAACAATAATCTTGAAAGAAAAAATGCAAGGTTTATTCGCTGTACTACTGAGTCATAGGAACTGGCTCCCAATGAATGGTATTATAAAAATCAACTAAACTTCTCTTGAATCCAAGCAGTCTTACAAAACTGAACAAACTTCAAGTAGATAAAGTCCAAAATTAAAACCTAAGACTTGGCAACCAAAAATAAAGACCCAAAAATTTAACCAGACTGAGTAATTAAAAATTATAACAAAATACTGCAGGAATTTTGAAAAACTGTAGTTTCCGGTAAAAAATAGTAAATGTGAATTCAGGGTCCATGAAAAGTACAAAACTGCAAGTGTTCTTATAAAAAATAGTGGGAGTAAATTCAGAATCCATAAAAAATACAAAACTGCAAGTGTTCCATCCATAACCATTACTGGAAATTATCTTATGCACCGATAAGCGACAAAAAATTGTTAAAAACTCTTAGAATCCCTGCAAAAAATGATTGAAAAAAAAGTAATGAATAATTACCGAGATACCGACTTGGGACAAACTCTGTTCACTTAATGTTATTTCATCCGACCGCAATGCTCTTGCTGCTACTGCCTGGGCATCTGTTTCCATCAGCACTCTAAAATAAAAACAAACAAAAAAAACTATAAATTCATATCACTCATTAGAGTTCCGGAAGCAACAAGTTTGTATCTTAAAGCACAACATACCCATTATCACATAATTCATCTATAATAAGCATAGCTATATCCATATTATCAACTAGGGTCTTTCTTTCAACATATTTCCGCAATACTATTGAGAAAGAATCATAAAGACAGTTCAATGCAGCCATAAGAATGAGCTCGTTTTCCTCAGAACTTCCCACAACATAGAATAATAAATCAACGTTACTGCGGTAAACACAGATTAATCCATCAAGTAGTATTATTTCGGCTAAAAAATATTTAACAATGAAGTATGATACCTTCAAAATACATAAGCGATACCTAGCACAATTATATTATCTATTGGTAAGGAATCTGATTAACCATACCATTCGCTTTATAAGTCTTTTGGAAAAGACTCTTCTCGAAAGCTAATTGCTCCTTCGTTGTAGGAAAAGCTTCCATATCATAGTACTAAAAAACACTTTAGGATAAAACGAAAAATTTCAAAATCCAGCATCAAAAAAGCGTTGACCTTCAAACACACTTACCACTGATTAAAATTACCCTTAAAAAACCCACCAACTCAGAATCAGATACTGATTACAGTACAATAAGAGAATAATGATAAGAAAATACCTTAGCAAGAACTCGGTTACCATCCTGGTCGAGGATCGCTATACCTTTGATTGTATTCTAAAACGCTACGCACAAAAGTTGTCATGCACTGGCATAACAATGCTATACTAATTTACGCACTTGTATTATAAATAAAATAAGCCAAAACACTAGCAAACTGTAACAAAATTTTTATTTAAACTCCGAACTACAATAGCAATCGATTTGAAAACATACCAGATCCAAAACCATAGCAAACCGAACAGACGCGTTTCACCACTCTAAAATAAAAATAAATGCAAAGTTAATCCGGCTTTACAGGAAAAACGAAAAGAGGAGAAAATTAGGTAAATAAGTTTAACTCCGGACCGTCACTAAACACCTCAATTAAGTTGTTGACTGGCAAATAAATTTTCTTCATTGCTGTTTCATTTTTTTTATCCAGTCCTTTGATAATAAATTAAGAAAAATTTTATTCCGCTACATGCTTCTTTGAAACAAAGAAATTCTTTTTAGTATAATGACAACTAAGCTGAAGACAACATTCAACAAAAATATACCCGTGTGCTAAATAACATTTCTTACTACTTTACTAATTCATACACATATGGTAAATCGATAAGCATTATAAATACATGAAGATCAAGTTACCACTTGATAATTCATCGAAGAAGTCAAAATAAAAAACAGTTTCAACTGTAAAGCTTCACTTTTAAAATAAGGTTCACAAAATTCAGGAATTTCTTGATAACTTATCTTTTCATCAGAACCCAACTTGATAAATTTAAGAAAACATTTTAATTCAACGAGTACAACTTTATACCGCTCAGTAAACAAAAAAAAAAAAAAAAAAAATGATAACTGCAAAACGTCTACCCTCACAAAACTGTATGAAGAAAAAAAATTAACAGCTAAGTAAAAGCTTTTCCCATATAGTCTATATAATTTCTTGATATGTATTGCGCGCAGTTTTTACTAACAAAATTTGAGTTAAAAAAAACTTTATTTATGAAATTTTAAATATGGTTCCTAAAACTCGAAAAAAATATTTTCTCGAAGAACCTAAGCCAGTATTCAGCGTCGCGTTATAAAAGAAATGGCATGTCAGTGTACAAAAGTTGACCTTTTAAAAACTAAGCTTGCAAGATTCAACAGATGGCAAAATGAAATGAGGCAAAAAACCAAAATAATGGTTAAGAAAAAAACAAAAATTTCACAGTACATGACAGAAAATCCAGATCACCGAAACCAAAGAGAATTTCAACTGTTTTTACAATTGGAATCATCCACCAACTTCGCTCAAAATTGACCCTTCCTTGCCATCTCGCTAGAACACTGTACAACAAATTGCCAACTAGCCGATTACAGCGCCAACTCTACAGCACTTTTCGCTTCGGGACACAAAGATTAAAATTGTCAGCGAAAGAAACAGCGTAATAATTCCACTCCAGTCATCATTGAATCACACGGCGTTCCAACAGATATTATATGTATATTTATAAAATATATAATATCGGCTAAACGTTTGCTGAAAAAGCAACTACTTTTTCAACCTCTGTATGAATATATGAACTTATATAGAACAGTTCATCGGCTTTTTTCTCTGGAAAACTTTAGCCGCGCTTTTGTGCTGTAAAAAAGCTATATATAGGTGAATAGAAGTGTGGCAGATCTGATTTTGTCCGATCCACCCACCTCATCAATCTGTTAACTCCTCTTGGTGTATGTTTAAAACCTGGTGACATAATCTTTCTGATCAGTAAGTTTCTGTCACTACTTCCCCTGAACTGAAAACAACAAAAATTCGAACCATTGCTTTTGGGTTAGACCTCAATATCATACAGTCAAAAACGCAGCTTAGTTATCACTTATTACACCATATGCCATAGGCAAATGGATATTCTGAATTGCCATGAGAGTGAAAACGCTAACAGGTGGAATCAAGATGTAATCGCATGAAGGAAAAAAAAATTAAGATATTTTACCTGCAAAAAAAGGACAATTGAAGGTGAACAAGCTAAACGTCAATTCAAAATATATCATCTTTTACCTTAGATTAAGTAACAGTTCAAGCCATATGAACTTGGGAGGATTATTTAGACAATGAAATAATAGGACTGTACCAATTAAAAGTTTAAAACATAATGAAGACAAAAAAGAGACAATTCGTTTTTATGCCACTGGTTGGTTTTACTTTATTATCAAGTAACAAATTTTCACGACACACAATTTAATGCTACAAAACTTTCAGTTTTTTGAAGCTAAAACAAAAAATTGTTGAACCAAGAAATCTTTTCAAGTTGATAACAATAGCAAAAATTTATCATTGTAAAGTTGCATTACACTGACATGTGACATTTGTAAATCTGCAGCTGAGTCATAAATTCGTAAAAAAACTTTCAGAAATTATACTCAGAAGGCGAAACTGCAAACTAAATTAAGCAGTGCATTACTGTTGATGTACTTTTGAAAAAATTCCAAAATCTTAATTTTTTTCAAAGCATAAGATATTTTGATCTAAAAGTTTTTAAAAAGCTAACCTATTTTGTGCAATAAATTTAGGCAATAAAAAGTAAGTTATTTTATTCAATAGAATGCAGTCAAAATAAAAGTTGCATCAGATTAATTTGAAGTCTTTTTTAAAAAGATAAAAAATTTGCAGAGCAAAATGAGTGATCGAAAAAACCGTACAAACTACAGCAACAATTTAGCGTTGTATTTTACAAGAAAAAAAATTTTATAGCATTTTTTAACTAGTATAAATTAAGTCCTAACCTCAGATGCAAAAACCAGTTAAACAAGTAACAGGCGGTGATAGATAATTGAAAAATAAAGGGTATATTTTGTTGTACTGTTTTACTGATTCCAGTTATGACATTAACAACTACACTTGTAGATTAGCAGAAAATTTTTATGCAACATTTTGTCAGACAAACATTCAACAACACTTCCTTTGTATGCTTCAAATTTGGTTAAATTTCTGTGGTAAGTTGTCTTCAGCTATAGGTTATGCATCTTCGTTATAAAAACTGTTAAAACCAGGAAAATATAAAAGGGCAACAAAAAAAAAAAGAAAAAAAAACCGATATACAAATCTTTGATTCAAATTAACATCTGAAATTCTATTTTTCGTTTTACTTTTCTTAGATACTTCCCAATAGAAACATTGCACACTAAAAAAAGTGTATTGTTAATTGCTATTTTTAAAATGCATAAAATGTGTTCGCATTTTTAATGATAAAATAAAGTTTGACAGAAAATTTTATGTTCAATCACTTTTGATTTTTTTTTTTTTTTGTATTGTTTTTTAGACAAATAATTGAACAAAAATTGTGATGCCATTTTTCCCTGAATGACATTAAGGAACTGTGTGTAACCGTTGGTTTTCATTCAATTTGTCTATTATCTGTAGTTTTTATTGCATTATCACTTTACGCTTATTTATTTTTTTTATTTTTT